CTTTAAAGAAGAGCGAATACAATACTCAAATTATTTCACAGAGTAGAAACAGAAAGAACAGCACTCAATTCATTTATGAGGCCACAGTCACGCTGATATCCAAACCACAAAAAGACTAAACAAAGAAAGAGAATTATAGATCAAGTACTCTCATGAACATCGATGCAAAAATATTCAATAAAATACTTGCAGACTGTCTTAGGGTTTCTATTTCTGTGAGAAGACACCATGACCATGGCAACTCTTATAATGATTATAATTATAATTTGGGTGGCTCGCTTACAGTTTCAGAGGTTTGGTCCTTTATCATCATGACAGGGAGCTTGGCTGTATGCAAGCAGTCATGGTACCAGAGTAGTGGCTAAGAGTCCTACATCTTGCAGGTAACAGGAAGTCAACTGAGACACTCTGTGGTATCCTGAGCATAGGAAACCTCAAAACCTGCCCCCACAGTGACACACTTCCTTCAGCAAGGCCACACCTACTCCAACAAAGCCACACTTCCTGACAGTGTGACTCTCTTTGGGGGTCATTTTTTTTTCAAACTAACCAAATCCAAGAATACATCAAAAATACCATACACCATGATAAAGTGAGTTTCATCTCAGAGATGCAGGGATGGCTCAACTTACAAAACTCTATCAATGTAGTCCACCATACAAACAAACTGAAAAGAAAACCCCACATGATCATCTCACTGAAGCTGAAAAAGCCTTTGACAAAATCCAGAACCCCTTTATGACAAAGGTCTTGGAAAGATCAGGAATAAAAGGAACATACCTAAACACAATAAAGTCAATATGTATCAAGTCAATAGCCAACATCAAATTAAACTGAGAGAAACTCAAAGAAATTCCATGAATATCAAGGACAAAAAAAGCTGTTGGTTCTCTCTATATATATTCAATAAAGTACTTGAAGTTTTAGCTAGAGGTCAAGGGGATACAAATTGGAAAGTAAGAAGCCAAAGTATTGCTCTTTGCATTTGATATGATACTATATATGACCCCCAAAATCCTACCAGGGAACTCCTACAGTGATGAACACCTTCAGTGAAGTGACTTGATACAAGATGAACTAAAAAACATTCTGTATCCCTCCTTTATATAAATTATCAAAAGACTGAGAAAGAAATCAGGAAAACATCATCCTTCATAATAGCCACAAATAATATGAAATATCTTGGTATATCTCTAACAAAGCCAGTGAAAAAACTGTATGACAAGAACTTCAAAGTCTTTGAAGAAAGAAATTGGAGGAGATATTAAAGAGTGGAAAGATCTCCTATGCTCAGGGATCAATAGGATTAATATAGTAAAAAAAATGGCCATCTTACAAAGAGCAATTTACAGATTCAATGCAATCCTTACTACATTTCCATCACAATACTTTCCAGACCTTCAAAGATGAATACTCAGCTTCATATGGAAAAACAAAAACCCAAGGATAGCTAAAACAATCCCTCACAGTAAAACAACTTCTGGAGTTATCACCATGCCTGATTTCAATTTGTGCTATGGAGCAATACTAATACAAATTGCATGGTATTGGCACAAGAACTGACAGGTTCATCAAAGGAATCAAATTGAATAACCTGTTAGTGTAAATCCACACTCCTATGGACACCCAATTTTTCAACAAAAGAAGCCAAAACTACACAACAGAGAAAAGAAAACATCTTCAACAAATGATGCCAGTCTAACTGGATGTCTGTAGGTAGAACAGTGAAAACAGATTCACCCTGCACAAAATTCTAGTCCTATTGGACCAAAGACCTGAAGATAATACCAGATACACTGAACCCGACAGTAGAGAAAGTAGGAACAGTCTCGAATGCATTGGCACAAGAGGAAACCTCATGAACAGAACACAAATCATGCAGGCATTAAGATCAACAATTAATAAATGGGAACTCATGAACTAAAAAGCTTCTGTAAGGCAAAGGACACTATCAATAGGACAAAAGGGCAGCCTACAGAATGGGGAAAAGAGTTTCAGCAACCCTACATCTGACAGGTCTAATATCAAAAAACATATAAAGAACTGAAGAACCTAGATATCAACTAATGAAATAATTCAATTAACAAACGGGTTATAGAACTAATCAGAAAATTCTCAACATAAGAATCTCAAATGGCCAAGAAACACTTAAAGAAATATTCAACATTCTTAGCCATCAGGGAAATGCAAATCAAAACAACTCTGAGATTCCATCTTATACCAGTCAGTATGGGTAAGATCAATACCCAAGTGATAAGTTTATGTTGGAGAGGATATGGACCACTGCCACACTCCTCCTTTGATAGTGGGAATACAAACTTTCCCAGTCACTTTGGAAATTAATATGGTGGTTTCTCAGAAAATTAAGAATTGGTCTACCTCAAGTACCAGCTATGCTAGTCCTAGGCATATACCCAAAGGATTCTCCACCACTTAACTATGTTCATAGCAGCCTTATTCATAACAGCCAGAAACTGAAAACAGACTGAACTGACAACCAGGGAGCCTGCATGGAATTAGCCTAGGCCCTCTGCATATACATTAGAGTTGTGCAACTTGGTCTTCTTGTGAGACTTCTAACAATGAGAGCAGGAGATGTCTCTGACTCTGTGGCCTGCTTTTGGGACCCTTTCCTTTCACCATACTGCCTCATTCAGCCTAGTCTCACTGCAACTTGATATACCATGGCTGGTTGATATCCATAGGATACCGGTTGTCTCTGAAGATAAACAGTGGAGGAGGAGTGGTTGGTTGGTGTCAGGGGAGGCTCGGAAGAGGGAAAGGAAGGGAAACTTCGATTGGGATGTAAAAACAAAATTTAAAAAAAAGTTTGCTAAGAGTCACTATCAGTCAAGACAAGCTGCCTCGTAAACTCAAACCATATGGACAACCTATAAGCAGCAGACACCAGCCAGGCTGCTTGGAAGACTCCAGCCACCTAAACCAGCTGGAAACAATTCCTGAGCTGTTGGGCTATCTGCAGGCTCACTGTGTTGGATTCAGAGCTATGTGCACTTTGTTCTGTGATTGGTTCCCTATCTGGAGTTAGTGATGCTTTTTCAGGTCTCCCCAGGAAAAATGTCACTCAATGCCCATATGTCAACTAATGCGGCAGGAGCATCAGTTCCCTGCCATTGCTTGCTTCAGGGCTTAACTATGGGCCATTTGAGGCTCTGCTGAAGCCTGTACACAAACTATCATCACACGGTGCAAGCATCATCATCTTCTGCCTCATCCCACTCCTTCCTCCTTTCTTGGGGATAGGAAGCAGTGGAGAACAGAGCCCTTTTTCTGACAGTGTTCTCTACTTCTTGTGATACCCACCTCATGGGAACACCACTAGGGTGTGCTCATTCTTACTCAGTCCCTGGGTCACAGAGTGTGCTGACCTGCCCAATGGCAGGATACCTCAACACAAAGAGCCTTCCCAGCACCGGGGTAGGGCTCAGCACTGGCGAAAAACTCAACTTGAAGTTCCATAGGGATGACCAATGCATGTGTGTCGGATTAGCCAACCCATGTTGCCTTCGCTTGCCCCATCCAGGCCCTCACACAGACCAACAGACAAGTCACATGGAACCTGGACTGGTTGTATCAGCGCTGGACCTAACAGCATATCAGCCCAAGACCTCACAGGCCACCTGGACTCAGGGGGGTCTTACCCTTTGATTGTGCAATGGCATCTCAAGAGTTTTTCCACTCAGATTTGACCAACTCCACTCCATCACCATGTGGCCCTTAAAAGTTCAGGAAGCCAGGGGGCTGGAGAGATGGCTCAGAGGTTAAAAGCATTGCCTGCTCTTCCAAAGGTCCTGAGTTCAATTCCCAGCAACCACATGGTGGCTCACAACCATCTGTAATGAGGTCTGCTGCCCTCTTCTGGCCTTCAGGCATACACGCAGAAAGAATATTGTATACATAATATATAAATAAATAAATAATTTTTTAAAAAAAGTTCAGGAAGCCAGCAAGCCTTAATGGCACAGGGCATGGGGAGTGGAATATTGTACTTGGAAAAGACAAGAGTTCATGGTAAAGTCAGAACCTATGGACTTTTTTTTTCACAAAAGAAATATAGTATCCAATCCTAGACAACAATCCCAGACAAGCAAGAACTGAAGATGGGGTAGAACCAGATGATTTCCATGGAATGGAAGTGCCCAGGTCTACCAGCCGGTGCGGTTCAGGACTTCTAATTCTATCCATGCATAATCCTGTCTGAATTCCTTTCAGGATCATTTCCCAGAAGAAAGGTTAAGATTTCCTCTCAAAATTCCCATGAAGATACTGCCCCTCCCCTCTACCCTTCTCTCAGTACAAAGAACTTGCTTTAATATCAGATGTGTGCATGGTCTGATTAGCAGGTTATCATTGGTGGTTTGATTTTCTGTGCACATACGTTTTCTTATCCCCCCCCCCACACACACACACAGGAAGCAATCCAGCTGGGGACCTTATGCTGCTCTTTCTTCTCAACTGTCCTTTAGATTTGGGCACAGTCATGTGTGGAGACCGTTCCACTGTGGGACGCTTCACACCACTGCCTGCCTGAGTGGGCCAGATCATTTCCTTGGAGCGCTGTGTCTTTCACCTGATGGACAGCTTTCATTAATCTCTCCATCCTTTCCGAGACGGGATGGCTGCCTCACAGAGGATGTGGTGCACGGCCCAGTGACTAAAGACCACGTGACCTGAGGCTCACACCCTGACACGTCATCTCTAGGGAGACAGGACTATTTGTACAAAAATGAGCGGTTTGAATATAAGAAGTAAGTTGGAGTCATTCACTGAACACCAGACATTTGGCTTGGATGAAATTGATTGCAAATAAATCAGACCATCTGTAAGAACCTGTAAAAGGCTTGCAGCCGAGTGGAAAGATCATTCTGCAGGGAGAGCTGGGAAAGGAAACCCCTTGTTGGTCATTTGGCCCCCAAATCAGGCCCACTTCCTTTGTCAATGGAACCCGAAACAAGGAAGGGTAATAAGCCATCTGTTACCTTGATTTTGGCTGCTTCCAGGGCCTTCTTGCCATCCCAGGCCCATCCTCTCTTGGTAAAGTAGTTGACTGTGGCAAATTCAATCAGAGCAGAGAAGACAAATGCATAGCAGACAGCGATGAACCAGTCCATGGCTGTGGCATAGGCCACCTTGGGCAGCGAGTTCCGGGCACTGATGCTGAGTGTCGTCATGGTCAGCACTGTGGTCACTCCTGCTCAGAGCAGGACACAGGGAGAGGGCAGAAGACAACGTGGGAAAAGAGACCAGTGGTCTTTCCCAGAACCCCCTCCCTGAACACAACAGAACACAAGGCCTCTTTCCTTAGCCTCAGCTGACTCCTTTTCCCCTGAATGCACCGTGAGTATCACATTTTCTGCAGTGAAAACGTTGCTTTACTAATTGCTCCTGCTCTCCCCTTCCTCTATAATACAAACTGAGGAGAGCATGGGTTTTGGTCTGAGTTCTTTATAACTATGCTCTTCTATATGAATAGGTGTGGGAAATCACTGATACTGGCAAAGTGATTCTGGATGAGTGTTCTGTCTCTGTGGGACTCAAGCAAGAATACTGGAAAAGTGAGCACGCCTTTCACCCAGGACTCGGTGTGCTTCTTAGAGATTCCCTGTATACCTTGAAAGCAGGGGCCTGCGACAGGATGATGCTCTGTGTTTCTTTCTTATACAATGACTGCACAGAGATGTCGGTGATACCTGAGTATCCCTGCATTGGGACGGGAGCTTCACTCCTTCAAAGCAGTGACCGTATCTGCTTGAGCCTGCTGTGGTTCTAGAGAGACACTGTGGTGGCTTCACCGAAAAGTCAGGTTGCTTGACTTTATAATGGGGAGATAAATGTGACCAGCCAAGTGCCAGTCTCTTACCTAAGCCTCTAAGGGAGTACTGTACCCACCATGCAGGAAGAGTTGAAATTTTACAGGCACTTTGTGTACCTTAATTCCCACCTTGCGAAGAAACAGTCGATAGCTAGAGTCAGGACTGGGGACTCTTACAATCTAGACAGTCTCTCTTCTTCCACACTTCTGTGATAGGGACCCATGTATGGGATGTGGCTGGAACGGACCTGTATGAGCCAAACTGTGTTGCCCTTCAAATTGGCACACTCAAGTCCCAATCTCAACTACCTAGGACTATGAACTTGCAAGAAAACTAGACTCTGAAGGAGCAATGACGTCAGCAGAGAGCCAATGCCATTTTTTTTTAAAAGAGGAAATTCTGACTAAGCATGCACCCAGGGCAAACACCGGCAGTGCACAAGCACAAACCCTAGGCCTGTCAGAGGCCAGAGCAGACTCCTGGATCACAGACTGTTGTGGAATATTAGGCAAAGATGTGCTATATTCTTTTATGCTGGGGAACATTTGTTTAGTGATACAAAGATGTGTTGCGTTCTTTTATGCTACATTTGTTTAGCTCTGTGAAGCTATGTTACTTTGCCTGCCTAAAACACCTGATTGAGCTACTGAAGAGCTGAATGGCCAATAGCGAGGCTGGAGAAGGATAGGTGGGGCTGGCAGGCCAAGAGAAGAAATGGGAGAAGAGGAGGGAGAGAAAGAAAAAGGAGAGGACTTCAGGGGTCAGCCACCCAGCCAGCAATGGAGTAAGAAATAAAAAAGGACATATAGAATAGAGGAAAGTAAAAGCCCTGAGGCAAAAGGTAGATGGGATACTTTAAGTTAAGCAAAGCTGGCTAGAAACAAGTCAAGCTAAGGCCACGTATTCATAACTAAGAATAAGTCTCCATGTATTTATTTGAGAGCTGGGTGGTGGGCCCGCAAAGAGAAAAAAAATCAACTAAAAGAGACTCCTTCAAGTCTCAGTATGAACCAACCCTGCCAGCATCTTGACCTTGGGTTCCAGCCAGTGCTAGAACTTTCTACAGATGTCACGTGGAACTATTACTACAAAGAAACTCAACCGAGCCAATGATAGGCCAGCAGGTAGGAGGCCTGCAATGCCCAGGACATGGAAGCTATATGGAATTAATGCCTGGGGAGGCATCCTGATTTGACATCTTAATTTTTCTTAGCAACTCAGCTAATGGCTTATGCTGAGGAGACAGTTCCGTGCAGAGGCTCAAACAGACCTCTTCTTGGGCCGCTTAATGTTTGAACATGTGCTGGGAATCTCTAAGAGGAAGTCAGTGGACTATTACAGGCAGCTTTGTTCACACTTTCCCCGGTCTCTGTAAGACACGTCCACTAAAGAGTTTATTAAGCCCATCACCTTAGTGAATGAGTGCCTCCTGGACATGAGCCAATCTCTACATGTTGGTTACATTTTCTAAGTTAAGCTGTGGTAAGGCAGGTGACAGCCAGGAGTGGAGTGATGAGCAGGGAGTCCCAGGGCTGTTGGTCTTTTCATGTACCATCAGGATACGGTGCATGCAAACACCTTTCTACTGTGGAAGGGAAGCTCTAGATGTAGGAGCTAGTGTGTGAACTGTACTTCACTGCACACAAAGGTAGGAGACTCTGTGTCACAGCTAACCTGCAAAATTGCCTGTCCTATGCCTTCTTAAATGGGAGGCTTAGACAAGTCTCAGTCCAAAGACCCCCTAGTGTTAAAGGTTAGGTCCCCAACCCCAGGTGGTAGAGAGTAGCAGATAGTCTTCCAGTCATGGGGCGGGTCATGATCTAAAAAGGGACAATGGGGTCCAGCTTCTGTTTTTCTCTGTCTCTTTGTCTTTCAGCATCCCTATGTCTGTTGTAGTTTGAATGCAACTGGCCCCCCTGAGCTCAAAGGGAGTGGCACTATTAGGAGGTGTAATTGCGACATTGTTGGAGGAGGTGTGTCCCTGTAGGGGTGGGTTTTGAGGGCTCATATGTACAAGCCATGCCCAGTGCCTCAGACCGCTTCCTGTTGCCTGCAAGATGTTGGACTCTCAGCTCCTTCTCCAGCACCATGTCTGCCTGCACTCTGCCACGTCTCACCCCACCATGATGATAATGGACTGAACCTGTGAACTATCAGCAAGCCATCCAATGAAATGTTCCCTCTAGAAGAACTGCTGTGGTCATGGTGTCTCTACACAGCAGTCCAAACCCTAAGACAATGTCTGTGCCTTTGACTCTGTCTCTGCCTCTCATTGTCTCTGTTTCTGCCTCTCACTGTCTCTGTCTCTATCTTTGTCTATCTCTCTGTTTCCGTGACACACACACTAGCCATGAGGTGAAGATGTTTGCCATGATGTGTTTCCTTGCCCCAGGACCAGAATCAACAGGGACAATGACCATGGACTAAAACCGGCTAAAACTCTGAGCCAAAAGAACTCTTTCTTCTTTTAAGGTTAGTAAAGAGTTACTTTAGTGATTAATAATTTTTTTAAGATTAGCAACTATGTTACAATAACAAAAATCTGAGCAGGGCAGTGAGCTTCAAGGTGAGAGAATCAAACCATCCACTACGGCAAAGAATCTCCTTAAGAGAGATCCCGCTGCATCTAATATCTGAGAGACACATAATGACGGTTTTCTAGATTGTTCTTCGGTAGTATCATTCTTCCATAGCTATTTCCTCTGAATTGAAACATTTATATCTGGGAGGCCCATAAGACTCAGGGATTTGCCTCAGATTACAAGTCTCGGGAAGCTTAGAGGTTATAAGGCCCTTTCTCCGGGTTATATAAGCAGAGGACAATTGCCAGGGGAGAGGGGGCTCATGACGGACCTGGCTGCATGCTGACAGGGGATCAGCTCTTATGTGTCAGCAGCTCGCTTCTGCACGGAAACTCGCACCTGTGAACCTGTAAGTTACCCTGATGAGATAAACTCACTGGCTCACCAAGATAGCTTTGGGTGGAATCATTTCTTGAGTCTGTCCCTGGTGTATTGCCTGGGATAGACAGACATGTCTCATGCCTCCCAGGAAAAGGCATTCGCTAGTTGCCATTGGTATCTGTTGAGGACAGGTTCGGGGACCACGTCAGGTTCCCAAGCCCATACACACGTGAGCCTCCCGGAGAATGGCTCAGTGTCTGCATGGAACCTTCAGGCAGTCTCTGACGTATAGTGAGCCATATCTTGATACCTCACAATAACTTATTTAATGTTATCATCAGGTAAAGACTTGCGGCACTCTATTTTTGAGAAACAATAGTGAGACAGTTTGTACACGTTTAGTACAGCTGTGGTGGCATTTTGAATGTTTTCTACCTGTGGTTGGCTGAGACTGAGAATGCGGTACCTGCAGACACTGATGGCTGGAAGTGGGTTTCCATCTCCCCTCTGGGGGACATCCTAGTGTTCTGACAGTGGAATGACTGTCTTTTTGTGGAGGATCTTAAAGTGGGTTGCACATTTCAAAGGGAACCGCGTGAAAATTCGTATACGAATCATCTGCTTGGGAAAATACCACTGTGCCCAGCCTAGGAGTGTAGTTGAGGTGTAAACCTACTTCCCTACTGTACGTGAGGATCTGGACTTGATCTCCATTGGAAGGGGGGTAGGGACAAGAAAGGAGAAGGGGTATGCTTATAATTTCACACCTTCAAAGCATCTTCTAAAATGGAAATAATTATCAAGCAGAACGAATGTCATTCCCTAAACTCTCATTCAAAGAGAAATCCCATTTCTTAATCTTAAAATTTAAACTAATTGCTCAGTTTGCTCCCCAGGTCACAGTGGGCAGGCACGATATTAATGTGGTCACAATAACAGTTAGCTTCCCGTCACTCTTACAAAATACCTGAGATATTTAACTTAAAAAGAAGAAACGTTTGCTTTGGTTTGCATTTTGGGGGTTTTAGGTCATGGTCAGCTGGTTCTGCTGACTTGAAGGCTGAGGGAGAACAGGAGTCATGGCAGGAACATGGACTGGTCCAGTGTCTCACTTCGTGGTGGCCAAGAAGCAAAGAGACTAGAGTCCCATAGTCCTCTTCAGGGCCATAGCTCTAATGGTCTGACTTACACTAGCTCCATCATCTAAAAGCCCCAGCTCCCCTGCACAGTGCCAAGATGGGAAATGGTACAACTTAAACCTGAACACCTGGCTTGCAGAACAAGCACACAGTGCCCTGACAAACAGATGTTGTGAAGAGCTGAGAACCGCAGCGGGCTGTGCAGAACACCCTAAGCTCTTGAGACACAACCTAACTAACATAAAACTATGTTGCAGAAGAAGAGCTTAGCCAGCTGCCATCCCACATAGCCCTTACTTCCTCTTTCTCCTCCTAACCCAATAAAAGACCCCCCCCAGTCCGTATGAGAGGTGCTCTCACTATGTGCATGGGCCAAGCCTTTCTCAGGTTTTCCTGAGTAAACCCGTCTGCCCTGGTGAGCCCATTACCATGTCCTGATTCCTTTCCTACGATGCTACCTAGTAAGGACCATCCCTTTAACACACACAGTTCAAATGCAGCTGCAGCGTTAGTTTCTGTTCAGACCAACGTCAAGGCCTGATTTGTGGGTACTCACCAAAAACCGTCCTAGCTGGGACAGACTCTCGATTTAGCCAAAAGGACACCTGGGATAAGATGACCGTCATGATGCAGGGAAGGTAGGTCTGGATGACAAAGTACCCGATCTTCCTCTTCAAGTGGAAATGGGCAGTCATGATTGTGTATTCGCCTGCAGACATACATGGAGACCATGCAGATCAGTTCTCCCCCTGGGCCAGGGTTACTGCCCTCCCCAGAGGCGATCACAATGCTTTCTTCATCTGCCTTCAATCAAGCCAGTGCTAAATTGGGTTATTTGTCTAGGTAGCTGGTAGCAGGGGGTGCCAGGGCTTTTGCAGATTCCACTTTTGTTGTTTGTGTAATAATGTCTTTGAGGACTTCATACAAGAGCACTGCCTCATTTTTAGCCCCCTCCTCCCACGTCCTCATCCTAAATTTAGGATATCATCTTTAATTACTTTTGTTACAGTATGAACATAAATGTATATGCAAATGCATATGTACAATTTATTGTGCCTGTTTAGCATTGTCATAGACAGATAGATGATAGATATATAGATGATAGATAGATAGATAGATAGATAGATAGATAGATAGATGTGTTTGTGTGTGTGTGTGTGTGTGTGTGTGTGTGTGTGTGTGTGTTGAGGACTGATCAATGGGATTGGACAACCCATCTAGGACCTCCCCTCTGGAGGAACTGACCTTTCTCTCAACACCCTTTGACCACCTGGAGCTCTTCATCTCGGGATGGGAGTTTCCCTGCCCCCGTTGTTATGCCAATTGGTGTTATCATCATATGCTGATCTTATTCAGGCAATCAACAGTGTGGAGAGTTGGTCAGTGCAACTTCCCCATCATCTAAAGAACACACTTGCACATCAGAGTAAGTGTCCTGGACTTGCGAGTCTTACAATCTTTCTGCTTCCTCTTCTGTGATTTGCCCTGAGGGAGGGGGAGGGGTTTGTTTTGGAGATGTATCATTTGGGATTGGGCACCATGCAATCTGCCTGGCTTTTATTTGTTCTATCTATCTATCTATCTATCTATCTATCTATCTATCTATCTATCTATCTATCTATCTATCTATCCATCTATTGTCTCATACAATACATCCCAACCACCACCTCCCCTTCCTCCATCCCTCTCACTCTTCTTACACACACACCTCCCCTCTCCCCGAAGATCCACTGCTTCTCCATTTTCCTTCAGAAAAGACCAGGCCACCCAGGGATATCAGTGGAATGTGCCATAGCAAGATGCAATACGACTAGGCACAAACCCTCATATCAAGGCTGGCTGAATCAACTAAGCAGGGCTCACAGGGGCTCACAGAAACTAAAGCGGCAACCATGGAGCCAGCAAGGGTCTGTGCTAGGTCTTCTGCATATATGCTGTGATTGTTTAGCTTTGGGTTTTTGTGGGACTGGCTAGCTGGCTTTCTTAAAGGTCATTTCATAAGCAAATCTTGTGAACCCTAAAGGGACCTTGCTGGTGCCTGCTTTTTCGGGGAAAATCAGATTTGTGTGTTTCACTAATCCCCCATCAATCTGTGTCATGTTCCCTGCCCCCCTCACCGCTTCATAGCAATCAGGACCTGAGGATTTAGCCTTGCAGATAGAATCCAGGCATCCAGAGCCCTGCCGGAGAGTTCCAAGGGAGGCAGGACAGCTACTCTCTGCCAAGGCCTAATGCTTTCTCAGCTCAGGTAGAGACGGAGGAACAACCACACAAGGTCACAGAAGAAGTACATTCTTTCTGCCACACAGCAGAGACACCAGCGTCCTCTGTTTTTCGAAACCAGACTTCCTGGGCAATGTCCCATTGCCTGCTGTGGATTTGCCTGGCTGTGTGGGAAGCAAATGGGGATCTTCCATTTTTTGCCGAGAACGATGCCGTCCTGATGGTTAACTGGTAAGGAGCTGGGGTGGGCGTGCCATGGGTCTATGGGAAGAGAGGCTGTCTGGACAAGGGTATGTCTCTCTAGCAATGGGAAGGATGCTGTGTGTCTCCTTAAAGATGGAAAGGATGCTGTGTGTCAAGTGTAGGTCGTTAGACCATCTGGATTGTTCATCAGTGGGTAATACAGAGCAGGCGTTGGGGCTTGGGTACCAGACTGCCGGATTCCTATGATCATGGAAGCATTGTCCTGGAGAAGTTCCTGGTGCACACTCCAGCTGTGGGCTTGCCTGCGAGGGGGTAGCAGTCTTCTGACTGCGTAGACAGAGCATTGGCATGTTGGAGACTTCTGAAACCCAAACCCATAGCTTAACAAGGGTGCTACAGATGCCCCAACACATGTGCTTATGATGTCATAAATCAGAGAGAGGGGGGAAATGCCTTCTTACAGAAAAGAAGCCAGCGTTCTTAGCAATGCCTACACATGCTGGGGATGGGCGCTTTTCCAATAGCCTCACGCAGCTGAGAGCGGCTGAGAGGTCAAGCAGGCTTCTAAATGGAAGCGAGAAACAGGGATAGCGATAAAGATAGATAAATGTCTAATTACAAGGTCTAGTGCCTTTGAAAAGGTCAAATTTTGTTCCTCTATAGCACTGGAAGACAAGAAATGCCATTCAAAATACAGTAGGATGCAAAACTACTATCCTCTCGATTCTTCTTGCTTGTTTACTTTAGATGAGTAACAAAACTGGGCAATGCTTTTAAATTGATGTCTGTGTAGATGCAGGCTGAAACACAGCCTCTCTTATGAAATACTGAGGAACTGTATGAAGCTATTTCCAAAGGTAGCGCCCTGTGTCTGCACCCCAAATTCTGCCATATACCTTTCCTTTCCATGAAACCAGATGTGAAATTCTGCTTTCTTTATCTGTGGCATGGTACTCCCCTCTCAGGCTCTCTTTATCACTCAGGGATGCCCAGTGCACTGGAATTGGACTGCTGGTTGTTATGACGGTGCCCTGGCAGGTGCATGCGATATTAAAAAGAGCTTGGCCTTGGTGTCTTGTGTGTATCCTGCCAGTTTCTTGACTGTGAACAAACAGGTAACGAGCCAAAGGCTTCTCTGAAGCTCAGACCACGTTTCACAATCATGGCTCGGCTCATTCCTTATGACTTTCCTCTTCTGTTACACGAGGAAACAGGCTGCACCCCCTGTTTGCCTATACCACCACTGGTGGTAGTTTAAGCCATGCCTGCCCTCAGCCAGGAAAGGTGTGGCCATAGAACTTCAAGGTCATGCAGGCTATGTGCATGGTATTCCTCTATCGAAGCTGGACTGCCCTACAGAGACTATTGCTTTGTGTACGATTGACAGCACCTGCCACCTTGTTGGTACCACCTTAGCGGCTCGTTGTTTTCTGCTAGTTTAGTTTCCCAGATTGAACCACAGGGAAACCGCTGAGATGTTCAGAGAAGGAATCAGGGGAACAGGCAGCAGGAGGCATCCCCCTCTTGTCAGAGACCGCCTTGTTTCTCAGGAGTGGGGAGGGACATTATACAATCAGATCACTGGGCCTCCAGATGGGACCCACATGTCCACTGCAGATGCCACACGCACCACAGATCAGTGGCCTCTCCGTTCCCAGGTCACTGCAGCTGGTGCCGCTTCGCCAAGCACAAGAGGTCCTCCAGGAGCCAGAGTACTTATATGGGGTCTGTACTCCTTCCGAGTAGGACACGGAGCCATGGAAGGTCGGATGCCCTTTAGCCATAGACAATAAGTTACGCATCTCTTACCTGTGCTGGTGCTGATGTTCTCAGTGCCTACTGTCTGCCCCATGAGGTGGTACTGGTTGAGCCTGGAGCCATCTTCTGCCACAACCACAGACTTGGTTGAACCATTGGTCCAAACGTAGACGACTTCAGAATTAGGGTAAGCATCTGTAGGGAAAGGGAAGGAAAGTGGGTAAGCGCAGAGTGGTTTCCACTGGGGTAAACATGAAGATGCTGATGACTGGGGGAAGATGTTGGGAATCAACCTCCAGGGCCATGTGGGTCAGATCCTTGCTGTCGCAAAAAGACCGGATGCTCCAATTATGCCACCCATTAAGCCAGTTCTTACATATTATGTATTCTCTTCCCATGGACCAAAGAATAGTCTCATCTCTGAGACAAGTGCCTGCCATCCCAGCAGATCCGTGTGTGACCTTCACAGGTCACCTATTCTGTGCCATAGTTCCTTCATCTGTGGGATGGGCTGATGACAAGGCCCACACTGAGGTGGCTTGAGATGGCTGAGATTTAGAGAGCTGCCCGACTCACATGGTGACATTCAGCTGTAAGCACAACAATCAATTATTTCTACTCCAAATCTTTCCTGTGTACTGGCCGCACTGTCCAGGGTGACCAGCTGCTTAGGGAGACAGCAGATCTTCCCAAATGCCAGGCCGCCAACTTGTCACTTCCACCACCAAAGCTGCTCTGCAGATAAAATGAGGGCAATGATGATCTCAGATTATCACTGTGGCCAAGCATCGATCCCATCAAAAACAGGACCCGGGAGTAGATTCGCAAATGCAGAAAGGACTCGGCTCACTAATTGGCTCTGAAGCTGGCGGAAGTGACCACAGCACCAAAAGGGAGGGAATGAGTCTCGGGGCAGTTGAAAAGGAGACAGGGACTTTTACCCACAGCAGCGTGGAACTGAATGCTGCCCCACTCAAAAACCTGAGGCCCACTCAGAATGTCCAGAGAAAAACGCAGCCCTTCCCAGCACCACGATTCAGGCCTTGTGAGACAGAGAGGACAGAAAAATCTACCAAGTCTCCTGGGATTTTGGTTAGAGAACACTTGGGCTGCACAGGTGTCACTTTAATCTGTGAGGTTGGTGAGAGTTTGCCATATCAGCAACAAAATAGAATTGGGGCAGATAGGATGGAAAGCAAACCCAAGTACCTCCCTCAAGAAATCCATGCTCTGAGGAAAGCAAGAGCTATGGCAGGAAAGGCCTGCAGACAGAGAAGGGGCAGGAAGTGCTGTGAAGGCGACTGAGGAGAAGGAAGAGGCATGTGACAGAATGAGATGACTTGAGGCTTCCTTCCGGGTATCTAAGGGATGTTCAGGCATGGTTCTGTGTCTCTTGAGAGAAGGGAAGCTGCAGGCGACAGGTCCGGAAGCAGGAGCAATCCAGAGATTCCCGAAAGAAGCTAGGAATATAATGAAGAGGGTGGGGCAAGACAGTGGAGCCTTGGGAACACTCTAAGGCATTGAACTTTTCGACCTAAGCCAGGTAGACCCTGGAGAAAGGTTTAAAGCAAATATGTGACCTACTCAAATGTAGGCGATCTCAAGATCTGTTGACCTGTGTAAGGAGGGAAAAGACAGAGAAGGACACGCAACATTAAAACCATCTTGTTCAGCAGTGAGAGGAAGATGAGAAATCAGTGTGCTGTTGTGGGGAGACGTGGTTGTTTCTGCTGAGCAGGGTCCTGGGTTCTGAGGAAAGCACACAGAGCCCCATGCTCAGGAAGAGAACGGGGAAGGGGTTTTCTTAGGGTGCTAAGAAGTCCAGAGTTCCCAGCTGTGGCTATGGTGTGCCCAAGGCACAGCCTATGAGATTACCGACTTCATTCCCCGGCACTTCAGGGTCTAGAATTTGAGAGGAGGAAGCCTAGAGTATAGGTGGCTTCTCAGAGTCTACATCCCAAAGAAAACAGACTCCCTTCCCCCAGTTGTCAACAATTCCTCAGCTAGGGGTGGGACTCGGCACCTTTCCCAGCCTTGCTGGGCTTTTGGCTGGCATGGGTTTTGCTGGCAGTCCCGGTCGCCATGAGTTCGTGTTTGCAGTGGCACATTCATGTCACAGCAGTCAACCCACTGCCTCTGATTTAACAAAGACATTTTTCCACTCTGCTTTCATGGTGAGTCATGCATGAGCCTTGGGTGGAGGAGGTATGAAGGAGATGTCTCGTCTAGGGCCAAACATGCCAGAGTCTTTTTAACCTGACCACACTGGCCAATGTGGGTGTCTGCAGAAAGAAGATACTCTGATGAGGAGGGGATGGTGCACTAATCTATGGGAATTAAGATTAGTACTTAAGGACAGTTAGCAGAATAATAACACCACATTCTCCCTGTAGGACCTATGGCCTAACTGGCCATGGGTTCTTGGCCCAGTTAACAGTCCTAGGCATGAATTCTTATGGGAAAAAAACATAAATCTAATCAGAAATGCATTTGGTTACCTTTGACGTCATTTCACCAGGGGACACTTCCTATCAGGTCAGTAGTTCCTGTAACGTGTGGAGGTCACATCTGGTAAAGACAGGGGAGGGAGTACTTTTCTCCAACAGTACCGCGCACAGCGCTTCAGCACTGTGAACGGTAGCCAGAAGGATAACGCTCCCTAGACTTTACCAGCTTGATTTCCTCGTGTCCTATAACTCAGGTATGTGGCGTCTTCAGAAGTAGATCTTGCATCAAGTGTTAGTGGTTAGCCGCGAGCAAAGATAATAGCCAGGCATATATAGGTGGTCAGTTGGCTCCCACTGGACAACAGCTCAAAGAGAGATAACCCATATCTGCCCTGGGCTATTTGTTTGATATCCTATAGCATCTGGGAGGCACTGTCCCCACGTCATGGGGTAAATTCATTTAAACTTTAAATATATGCATATGTATTTATCTTAGGAAGTTCTACAGCAGAAAGCTTCTACATGCCATTTCAAACATGGACAGAAATAGAAAACACTATCCTGAGTGAGGTAAGCCAGACCCAAAAAGAGGAACATGGGATGTACTCACTCATATTTGGTTTCTAACCATAAAAAAAGGACATTGAGCCTATAATTCGTGATCCTAGAGAAGCTAAATAAGAAAGTGAACCCAAAGAGCTAATCTTGAAGTAGTGGCATCCTCACCAGTGAGTGCTCTTCTTTCTTTACGTTCTCACGAGAATGCCGTATGTTTTATTGATCTTGGCTATCCTGGCAGATACGACATGAAATCTGAAACTAGTTTTATTTCGTATTTCCCTGATGGCTAAGGATGTTGAACATTTCTCTAAGTGTTTCTCAGACATATCTATTTCACTGTTGGAAAACTCGCTCTTTAATGATGTATACCCTTTTAAATTGTTGCTTGTTTTCTTGATGTTCTTTTTTTGTGTGCTTTTTTCTTTCATATACTATCAGATGTGTAATTTGTAAGAAAACTGTTCCAGTTCTGTAGGCTGTCACATTGTCTGATTGATGGGATCTTTTATCATACAGATTTCCAGCTCCATGGAGTTCCTTTTACTATCTGTTGGTCTTAATGTCTGTGCTATCAATGTGCTATTCAGAAAAATCCTCTCCTAGGTCAACAACTTCAAGCCTATTGCCCAATCTCTCTTTCATCAGATTCAGCATTTCTGGTCTTATGTTGAAGTCCATTGATCTATTTGGAGTTGAGTTTTGGGCACAGTCATAATATGGATTTATTTGTAGTCTTCTACATATAGACGTCCAGTTTGACCAGCACCATTTGCTAAACATGTCTTTTTCTCCAGCGTGTATTTCTAATTTCTTTGTCAAAAGTCAGGTGTCCATAGGTTTGTGAACTTACGTCTGTGTCTTCATTTGATTTCGTTGCTCAGCATGTATGTTTTATGCCCGTACCATATTTTCAATACTGCAGCTCTGTAATACAACTTGAAATCTGAGATGCTGAAAATTCCAGAAATTCTTTGATTATTCCGGATTGTTTGAGGTATCATGTTATTCGTTGGTTTGTTTGTTCGTCTTCGTGTGTGTTTCCATATGCAGCTAAAACTTGTACTTTTTCAATTTCTGTGAAGAACTGTATTGAGATATTGGCAGAGATTGCATTGAATCTATAGACTGATTTTGGTACGATGGTCATTTGCACAATATCAATCCTATTGGTCTATGACGGGGCGATTTTTTCTATCTTCTGGTGTCATCTTCCATTTCTTCCTTCCGTGTCCTGAGAGTTTGTTTGTTTGTTTGTTTTTCATATGTCTTCTACTTGCTTGGTTAGAGTTACCACAAGACACTTTATATTTTGTGATTGCTGTGAAAAGTATTGCTTCCTTGACTTCTTTCTCGGCCTGTTGGTCATTTGTAGATAGAAAGGCTACTGATTTTTTTTTTGTGTGTGTGTGTTAGTTTTGCAACCATAATACTTTTCTAAAATCTTTTGTTAGCTGTAGAAGTTTCCTGTGGAGTTTTTAGGTTGTTTTATGTATAAAATCATATCATCTTAAAATAAAGATGCTTTGACTACTTTATTTCCTAGTTAAATACTCTTTATTTTCTTCAGTCTTCTTATTGCTTTATCTAAGGCTTTTTAAATACTACATTGAACAGGTATGGAAAAAATGGACAACCTTGTCTTGTTCTTGACTTTAGTGTTAATGCTTTTTTACTCCTTTTGTTTAGGTTGATATTGGTGTGGGCTTGCTGTATATTACCTTTAATCCATAGAGATATGTCCTGTGTATTCTGAGTTTCTCCAAGACTTTTATCATGAAGAGGTGTTGGATTTTGTCAAAGGCCTTTTCCTGCATCTAATGGGATGATCATATGATTTTTGTCATGCAGTCTGCTTATATTGTGAATTACGCATATTAGTTTATGTGTTTTGAACCATCATCACTGCATGTTTGGAATGAGAACAACTTGACTGTGGTGGATAATCTTTTTGCTGTGTTCTCAGATTCAGTTTGCCAGTATTTTATTCAGAATTTTTACAACTATGTTCTATTGGCCTATTGGGCTATAAATTTGTTGTTGTCTGTTTGGTCTCTGTGTTGTTTTGGTATCAGAGATAGAGTGTCCTCATAAGAGAATCAGACAGTGTACCTTCATTTTCAATTTGCAGGATATTTGAGGAGTATTGGCATTAATCCATTTTTGAAGGGCAGGTTAAATTTGCTACTA